TTCCATTCACATTTATCATTTTTCAGATGAAGTACGTTACGAGTTGTGCAAGACTCTGAAGAAGACATACGGAGAAATTGATGATGATTCAGCCGTGCACGGAGAGAGAGGGCCCCTTGACAATTTCTTCGCTAAACTGGACATAACCTCAATAGCTAATAATGGCCCAAATGTTGAACATGAGGTCAGGACCATAGCCACGCTGGACACCAACAGCAGTAAACCAGTGGAACAGCTTTCTATTAAGGATCTCATAAGCGCTGAAAGGCTGGAGAAGACCAACTTAAAGATTGCGCTGATCACAGGAGTTGCAGGGTCAGGGAAGTCTATGGCGATCAAGAAGTTAATCCTCGATTGGATTGAAGGGCGGTCCCACAAACATGTGACCTTTATCTTTCCTTTGCCGTTCAGAGAACTCAACAAGTTCAAGGGTTCTGAGGTCTCGCTGTTGCAAATAATACAAACACTCTACCCGGAAACCAAAAAACTCAGGGATTATGATTATACCTGCGATGAGTGTAGAGTTATGCTTATCTTTGACGGTCTTGAGGAGTACAGAGAGTCGTTTGACTTTCAAGACACTTCGCTTCTCACTGACCACACAGAGATCTCCAACCTGAACACGATCGTGGTCAACATGCTCAGAGCGAGGCTGCTGCACCGCGGCATATACCTGGTCTTTACCCGGCCCAGATTAAGGAGCTGCATTCCTTACGATACGTCTCACGATGAGATTGAACTGCGTGGTTTCAGCGACCCTGAAAAGGATGAGTACTTCAAAAATAGATTTCCGAACCCAGATCAAGCAGATCGAGTTATTGAGTATACCCACTCCTCCAAAACCCTCCGCATCATGTGCCACCTGCCTTTGTTTTGCTCCCTGGTGGCTGATGAGTACCAGCGCATATTTAAGGAACAGGGATTACAGGCCCAGCTGCCCAGAAGCATCACCTACATGTACACAAAGCTGCTGTTAACACTCATAGGTCAGCGCCGCACATTAGGAGCTTCACCTTGGGACTCAGATAAAAAGGGAGACTTCCTCATGGTACTTGGAAAGTTGGCCTACAACATGCTGGAAAAAGACATGCTCAAGCTCAACAGGTACGAATGGGAAGAACATGAACTGGACAATGAGGAAGCAGTGAATAACAGCGGCCTGTGCATGGTGTTTGTGACAAAGCCTCATCTCTTCTGTCATGAGAAAGTCCTCAGCTTTATCCACCCCACCATGCAGGAGTACCTGGCTGCCCTCTATGTGTTTCTCTCCTTCAGAAACCAGGGGAAGAACTTGTTTGAGCCGCCGCTGAAAGAAAAGTTCAAGGGGTATTTCAAGGGGCAGAAGCCAATGGAGATGTACAAGACCGCTGTGGACAAAAGCCTGCAGTACGACGACGGCAAACTGGACATTTTCCTGCGATTCCTGCTCGGAACAACTCTTAAAGCCAACCTGGACCTTCTCCAACCATTCTGCACACCTTCTCCAAAGTGGCAGACAGTCGCTGAGGACGCTGCTGCCTTGATCAAGAAGAGGATCAAAGAAAATCAGCACCCGAACAGGATCGGCAACTTGAAGTGCTGCCTGGAGGAGCTGGGTGTCTGAGCCTCAGAGGCAGCATCAAGATGGAAGACAGTTCAAAGACATGTGCGGCAGACAGTAGTTGGTGAACTTCTCTTTCAGGAGCTGTCAGTACCGGTCGCAGAAGGACTGGTTTCTTTCGAAAAATGCCTTGATTTCATCCTGTGACAGACAATTCTCTATATCTATATACTCTCTGCCACTTCTGAATTTCATTAATGAAAGTGAAAGATGATAAGGGGCCTTATTTTTTACATTTCTTGTTTTCTAGTTTTTCATTGACATTACAACTTCTTGCTTGTGTTCCTGCCTTGGTCTTGATGTGTCTTTTTTTAACTGCATTATTAACACTATATCATGGAATCCGTGACTATTCACCTAAGCAATAATTGACTTGTATAATTTTAAAAAGGAGTTATTTTGCAGTGCAGCATGGTTGATTAATTGATGTTGCTTATTGGCTGCTTACATTTGTGTTTTGGTCTGAAATGCAGTAATCACATTGAAGAGCTGAAGTAAAAAGCATCTGTGCTATAAATGTATTCCTCTTATCACTACCACATATGGAGGGTTGATTTCAGTGTATGTTCTAACAGTGATACCCATTGCTAAGAAAGTTATCTGTTTGAAATAATTGCTAAAATGAACAATACATTTCTAAGGAAACCACCATAAATCACGGTCATCTTGAGTTTGTGAGTGAATTTATTTATTTTCAACTTTATGGAAAGTATTTTGATATGGTTTCAAAGTATGCACATTTAAACTGGCTTATTGCAAACAAACACAACAAATACTGAAATGTTACACAAACATGGATAAGAAATATAGAAGTGTTTAAATATTTAATATAATCTGCAGTCAGTAGATTGTATCTTTGTGAGGTAACGTATAAATGACACTTATTTTGGGTGAAGTCAGTTCCACATAAAATGTTTCAATATGAGGATGATCCTCAAAAAGCTGCGTCAAATTGAAATGAGAAGAATGGAAGTATATTCTAGTTTCACTCTGACATTTGAACACTATTCAAAGCCATCAAAGTAAGTTACTGTGGAACTGAATGCACCCTAAACTTTATACATTTCTTCATCCAACCTTTCTTTGGCATTTTTCCTACCCAACAGTATAAAACAGAATAGTTCAATGACAGACAAGTGGAAGCTGAAATATGAAATTGTTCTCAAGTAAAACATGGCTCACAGAAAACCACTTTTAACTAGTGACATTCAGTGTTTTCTCTTCCTACCTACGTTACAATCTTTACTATCTGTTAAAACGATACGCTTTCGGGTCGTTCCGACATCGTTCGTCACGACACAGGTGAAGGTGGATTTGAGGTCTTCTGACGTGACGCTCCTCAACAGCAAACTCCTCTGGAGGATCGTACCATCATCTAAAGACGATCTAAAACAAACACTGTCATTAGAGCTCAGCAAGAGGTTGGATTCAGGATATTAAATCAATAATTAACGACATAAGTCCCCTTCAATGTTGTACCCTGTGATGTGGTCATTTCCACCAAAGCTTATAATACTCACTCCTCTGATTCTACTATTCTGCCACTGCTGAGCAGGTCTTCAGGGAACGAGCCATTGACGAGCCAGTAGATAAGTGTCACATCTGTACAATTGGCAAACGCTTCACAGTGAAGAAACAGCTTCTCACCTGTAAGTCAGAATACATCCAGTCATACACAACAAGAGTAAAGCTTCAATAATAATAAGGGATCCCTTTAAGTCAAAGTCAACTTTAATGTCAATCTTTCAGTTTGTGTGTACAGAGAGATCGAAATGACGTTTCCAACAATCCCGAATACAAAAATACAATACACAGATATGTATACAAATATGTATAGAATATGTATATCCTATATACACAATCAACAGACACATTTACACATATGCACACATTAAGATAAAAAACACAACAATCAATATATACAAAATAACAGTCACTTCAATATCTTTGAAAGCAATCATCATAGAAAATACCCAACATTTGCAGGTCTTTTGTGTTAACATACCAGGATGAGCTTTTATTTTGACATGATGTGGCCCAATGATCTTTGGATGTTCATCCTGAGAAACTGAAGATCACATTTATGTCAGCACAAAAACATAACCACATATTAATAAGACTTTTAATATCAACCATCAAATATACTGTACCTGGAAATCCATCTACAAGTAGCAGACACAGTGAACCCAGAGCTGTTGAAAAGACACAACATATTCAACCAATGCCATAATACACTGAAAAGGACTGATGTTGGTAACTCTAAGTAATCATACCTTTGACAGCGGATGACAGCTTCATATCGACTCCTTCAGTTAGGTCGTTTGTGTATTGACTGCGGTTTGGGAGTACTATATATATACCCAACAGCATAATTCACTTCCCTAATCCTAGTAAAAACCCAATGCGTGTACATGTGGTACATGGGGATTTCCTCAGAAACAGCCCACGCTTTACTGCCGGTTTGTTGACACACACTGGTTACATAAATTAACTTGACTAATTCACAATTCTAGGTCTTGTGATATTAATTGTCCAAATAATACATCCAGGGGTAAATGACTCAGCTTTAAAACAAACCTGAAGGATGCATTGATAACGACTTCTACACCAGTACACACACTGATGACAGTAATATCACTAAATCAAAGGCCTGTTATATTTCTTTGCATTCATTCCCTTTCTGTGAATAAAAAAAAAAAAGAGGCAATGTCTTGAGTACATTTATTGACCCGTATCATAGCTTTGGTTTGTGCTTCGTAGGTGGCTGCATTTTCAGAGCAGATACAAAAATCACTGAAATAAAGAAAATCTATATTTTCCCTCTTAACTAGTGGTGTTGAGCAATGCAGTTGGTTTTTAATTCAGCTTTGTGATATCAGTCAACCACATAAAAAACACTATTTCTTTGCTAGAAAGTAGTTCCAAAGAAAACAGCTGTAACAAATCAGTATGGTTGGATAACTCTACAAGTGATATCTTTTTATTTGTAGTAAGTTTGGGGACCCTTTAAGTAAAAAAAAGGTAACTTTGTCAACGAAAAAAGTGACTTCCTCAAATTCAAATTCAAACCCAGTGAAGAAATACTGTACAAAGGCCGGAGGTCAAAGAAAATATGACTGTTTTTCCCCGTTGGTATGGATATCCATAAAGACAGTAAGGTCATTTTGAAATCCTGTAACATCCAGTTTCATCTCATCTCCTCCTGAGTGAGGAATCCTCCGTTTCAGATTTTTTTCCCCACAATGACGGTACTTTCTGTCATATGATGCATGAGGCTGTACTTATGAAACGTACTCATGTCACTGAGTTTCAAAATAATGACTCAGAGTTAAAAGGCTAGACAAATGATTACATAAATGTGTGTATGTGCACTTTGGAGACAGAGGGAGGAATTATATATTACTTGTGTTTCCATTTAATCTTTATTACTCATGTGTGATAGCCATCAGACATGAGGACAAAGTCAAACTCCAGCAGGATCTTTTTACTAAGAATAAACAAACACTTAAGACATAAATTAGTAAAAAGCACCCCTCTAATGATTTTTAGAACCGCTTTACTAGGCCATACTGAAAGATGCACCGAACAATTATCAAGTGTAACGCTGTGTGAAACAAATCCTGGGAAACTGACTGACATCCAAATTGAGATTTACCAATAAAATTCAAATAAACTGTAAATACAGACAATATGTGCCTATAAATATATACACAAAAAGTATAGACACTTTTATTGGTGTTTTAGTTCAATGTTAGGCCCTCAGTCTTTTGAGCCAGTGCATATCATCTCCGTGTGGCGTGTTTTGTCCCTTTCTGCATCGCAGGTCACTCCAGACCCAGGACGTAGTTGATGCCTTGCACAAATCCAATGATAACAGGCTGCCACGCCACCAAGTACCGAAGCCAGTCCAAAAGTTGTCCATACATGACATGTGGCCTCTCCCAGCTAAAAGGAAAATGGGTTAAGGAAAAAAAACTTGAACAGCAATCCACAATGGCTAATGAATGGATGCCAATTAAAGCGGTTAAAACACAGATTAAGAGGCGGTAGAAACCACTTTCAGTTTCTGTAAAAGAGATACAGTCATCTTTAGTGTCAACTGTGAACTAAAAAAAGGAACAGGAACAGGAACTTAATATATATAACCTATGAATGTTTCACATCTCATTTCACCACGCCTTTAATGAACTGTCTGAAAAATGCAACTAAACTTTGCCTTCAAAAGTTCCCCCGCAGTTACTAGAAACACGTCTTGGAATGTCTGCTGTGAAAACACCCAATTTAGATTTCAGGCCCTACTTTCACTTTTTTAATCTTTTATACAGTCTGAATGTGGATATTACTGTACTGTTAATGATATCTATAATTAACTTGTAACGATATATACACAAAATACAATTTTGAATAATGCAGCACAGAAGAACAACAGGGAAAGCCAACATGTATAAAGAACTTTAAAAAGGATACGGGTTGCTGAACATCCTCTTCAGATCCACCTTCTCTTTGCAGTACGGACACATCTGCTTCTTTCCGACGATACACCATCCTCTTATGCAGAACTCATGGAATCTGGATGTGGAGTTAAGGCTCGGCACTGAAATATGTGAGGGTCGGTTCAAACACTGGCTCAAAATGTCATTACTAACAAAAGAACCGTATTGTTGAAATATGAAATGTATTATATTTGTAGCCACTGTGCATTCACCTGTTGGGTCAATATTGTTGAAAAACCAAAAACAGTTCTAGGAAACAGTCATGTTACTTTACCTTAAATACAGTTTAAAGTAAAATACATATAGTTACCCACTAAAGGTTAATACATTTAACTGGCAGGCAAGGCACTAATGTTACAGTGGTAAAATACAAGACGCAACTATAAAGTTATTTTCTTTCTTTTTGTAAAACAATCTTTGATATTGTATTCCATATTTCTATTTGTTGGATACTTTCTGAACCTGGGCACAATATTATTTCACTAAATGTGTATGACAAAAAAAAGAGAGATATCCATATAATTAGTAGAAACCAACAATTGTGGATTTTTCGTGTGGATCTCCAAGTCTACTTTTGAGGGAATACATTTATTTAAATGTTTGCATTAACAGTATTATGTTGATGCCGAATGAATCGCGTTCTATCATCTTTTGCAGCTGAACAATTTGCTGTCACCATTGGCAGTAACCGTGTAAGATAACCACACATTTTCCACAGTAAACTCAAAGGGATAAAAGTTAAAATGACTATAAAAAAAAATAAAACCACCGTCACAAAATATATCAAACATGAAATATATAAATAAACGTTCCATTATACAAATGGCAGTGTACGATATTGTAAGTTTTTTTTGCACATCTGCCAAAAACATTATGGAAGCACCAGCCAATAATATCATCGTGCAGATTAACGTTATGGCTCTATGATTTAATTCACAGCATCCTCCACTAATCTGTAAAGTTGTGTTGTTTACAGTGGAAGCTGCACAAGATAACAATGGGGGAAGTAATACGCATTCAGATGAACAGACTCATAACATCCACAGTAAGACATAAAGGTCAGGTTAACTAATTCCCTTTTGCGTACACAATAAAGTTCTGTCACAAAATGTACCATGACTAAACCTTTTTATAGACATGGAATACCCCATCGTGCAGATCGACATCTCTTTCGCTGATAAAACATATAGCTGCATGACAATATGTCCGATTCTCATGAGGAAGGATACACATGGTTGCAGGATAATCTGTACGTGTTCTCGATAATCCCCTCCTCGCTGACATCTACGAGGATGGGCTGCCCACACACTGCACAGATATTGTCAGAGAGGTGCTTGGTTGGCATGCCAGATGCACTGTAGTACTGGAAAACAAAAGAGAGAAAGAGGTGATACTTTAGCTCAGTGGTTCCTCGTATACCCCTTGAGCTGGTCTCTATTCTATAAGAACCCCCTCACTCTGTGATGATACACCTGCATTTTTCCTTGTGTAAACCCTTAGTAATCGTATTTAACCCAACTGCTCCTTAGATGAAATTCACTTGTATAACCCTGAATACAAATGTATTTAAACTTGCACTTATTGTCAGTGAAAAAATAATAATATTAAGACTCACTTCTAGCAGTTTCAACATCTTTTGTTAAGACTTGAGCTTTTAAGAGACACCTGAGCTTGCTTGTCTTTCATAAGTTTCGATAGTTCTGGGGGCGGGACACAAGGGCTATGAAAATAGATTTTTAAATGTTTTATTGTGTGGAAATATATTGCAATCCCTAATCCTTCTACTCCCCCTGCAAACCCCTCAAGTACCCTTAGGGGTCCCCGTACCTCCGGTTGGGAACCACCGCTTCAGTTTACAGTTGTTACCCCCACAGCTTGGGGCCTACAGTCTGTCTACGTACCCCAACAGTGGAAGCCATGAAGTCTGCACACATCTCTGCAAAGTCCCTCCCCAGGACCCCGTAGTACAGACCGTAGAATAGTAGTGAGACGCCAAAGTCCATCGCGTCCTCTGGCTTTATCCTGCAGAGAGAAGGCACTGCATCACGGCTCAGGAGGGGTTCAACGTTAGCTTTAATTCAATTCATTAAAAAAAAGAAGTACAAAACATATGGGCTAGAATAATTCTAATGATCAGCTGTACCCGGAAACACGTTTTAAATGTACAGCTTTAAATAAGTAGGCATACGTTACATTTTCCATTTATTTAAGAAACTGTCAGTTAAGAAAATAATGTGAGAAATGTCTGAAAGTTAATTAGCGTGTCATGTCGCAGCCTCGCTACATTAATGTCCAATTCATATTATTGAAGGTTCTTTGCTGCTCATTAGTTACATAGAAAAAACCTTTGTTAATTTAGAGGCTCTAATGCAGGTGGATTTCCCGCTGTGTTTCCCTGGATGCTGGATATAGACTAAGTGCCATGCCAGCACGAGACCGCAAGACCACATGGCGGAGCTCATGCTGAGCTCCGCCATGTCCCGCTAACATGGCACGCAGACCCCACGCAGCAACCAGGAAACGACACCAGTAATCCACCTCACACTGTCCGCTCCTCGAGCCTCAAAGGGCGGAGCAGTGAGCCCCGCAACGTCCCGCCAACACGGCACCCAGACCCCACGCAGCATTCTCATCTGTTTGTCATTACTGGTGTCATTTTCTGGTTGCTAACATACCCCATTGTAACACAAACACTGATGTCCAACTGTAACGGTGGTTGACCAATCAGAACAGAGTGTGCGAGCTGACCAATCAGAGCCCATAGGGAGGGGGGGGGGCAGGAGCTCCAACAAGCCGTTTAGGACAGAGAGTGAAAACATACTATACAGAGATGCTGTATGAGAAACCAATGTGATTTTGGAACATTGAACAATGTAAATCTATTCTAGTAGACTTCAACAATGGAATTATGATCAGTAGAAATGGCCAAAACATGGGACCTTTAAAGCATATTCAAGTATCAAGCATAATTGTTTTACATTTGATTGATTTAGCTAACTTATAACTTAACTTATGAGGCAATATACCTCACCTCTAGTGAGTGGCCCATCCCTTTGTATGTATTTCTGTATGTGGCCCTCATTAAAAAATGCCTGGACCACCCTGCTCATGTGGGTTAACTACTATAGGACATTTTCCTGTTTTATACTCAGCTAAAATTAGCAACTTCCACTTCATGTGCGTAAGAAGCAGACAAACTATAATTTCTCTGACCTTTACAAACAGACAGAATAGATCTTTGTCATTGCCTACAGGGAAGTATCTGAGAGAACTACCCACGTGTGTATGTCATTTTGTTACAGAGGAAATGTTTTTAATAAAAGGGTATCACATGTTTTACGCGACTTCTCACACAACCACAGGTAACCTTTGTACACAAACACCTGAGGCCAGCTATGGATTATGTAAACACCATGAAGCAGGCAGTCAAAAGAGAGTTATTTGCTCTTGTTCCTGCCTAAATCAGTCAAATTAAATCATCCTTCTGCGTGCTGAATTCTTGTAGGGCTTCAATGCACAAAATGAAATGCAACCAACCACAGGGTCAGCTCATAAAAGACTTAGACCCTGTTTACATGAGGACGAAACGGGTTGTATCCACATAGTTTCTCTCACGTATAGCCCGTTCGTTCACACGAGGCCGTAACGGAACGGCGGGAACGGACCCCGCAAACGATAACGGGTCCCAAGGTGGATAGATATGCGGACGGAACACTCTGGGGGGTCAAACGGCTCCGTGTGTACGCCCTATACGATCATTTCCCGATAGATGAAGCCATAGCCCCGCCTCTCCCCACCTCTGCTACTCACTGCTGTAGCATGGTCAGTAGCTACTGCTAGTGCTACTGCTACTGACCATGCTACAGATGTTAGTGCAAAATCTACAGCTCGACCATGCTACAGATGTTAGTGCAAAATCTACAGCTCCTCTACCACAACCATCAGCAACAAGTGGACATGGAGAATTACATGAACTACATGTTGCTAAATCCACTGCGGAGAATAAACAGAAGGGCAACCATGGCAACCATGCTCCGGGGTCTTCTTCGCTGCTTTTGGTGTATTTTGTGGCGGCAGCAGCGCCACTTACAGGCCCGGCATATGTACTACAGCGTTTCCAGCGGGTCGAGCGGTCTCGTGTGAACGGACACGTTAAATGAATCGAATGCGTGTGAACGGAAGACTTTTTGGAAAACGCATACGGTGCGTAAATGCAAACGTTCCCGTGTAAATGGGGTCTTCGAAAAAGACAAAACGGAAGAGCAATTAGTAACTCAGATGACTGGTGGATATTGTTATGATCAAAAAAGGTATTAAAAAAGACAAAACTAAATGCTACATGTCGAACAGAGAACCAGAAGAAGCTGAACTTCAAACATCCTAAAAAATTGAAAAAAATATGACAGCTCCTGTCAATAGCAGCCTATCGTTTTGAGTTATTTTTAACTGTGTAAGTACATATCCAGTGAAATACAATATTAGGATTCATTTAGCACCACTGAAAAGATATGAAACTAACAATACATACCTGAATATAAGGTTGATACCAAAAAGTGTAAACATGACCACAGTGTAGCCGGCTATTCCTGTGCCATAGCTGATCTTGTAGAGAAGGAGGAACCACTTATACACCAACCTGCCAAACCAAAGACAAGGACTTTTCTGTCAGTGTATGCCAGAGTCAGGGATGTAATAATAAAATAAAACTGAAGCACTAAAACGAAAAATGATATTTTATATTAGAAATATTATTAGTAATGTTGACACAAAATAAAAACAATATCTTTAAGAAACTTGAAGATTATGGTCTGGCTAAAAATCTAAATAAAAATTAGAGTAAATTCTCTCCAGTTTAGTCTTTTTTAGCTATATTATATCACTATCATTAAAAAAGGAACAGCATGAATTCCCATTACTTCTTGTGACATTAAAGCAGAGAAATGTAAGCACCTTGACCTCCCAGGAGATGGCACTCTGCCGCAATTTCTACACAGTTTTCCTACACACTAAGCCAACCATGTCATTGTTTTTATATGTAACTAAATACTTATGAGATGTTATAGCTGACCCTTACAAATAAAAAATGTAATTAAGTAAATAAAAGAAAACCAGAATAAGCAATCAAATTGTGAAAAAAGGTCAACAAGAAAAAGCAAAACCATTAAAACCTTGGTCAGTATCACAAACAGTTAATTCCGCATAACAGCAAGGCATTTTAATTGAAAGGGTTTGATTATGTGTGTATGAGGGTTATTATACCTGGGTGTGGTGCAGGCCAGGGGCTTGCGAGTGGCACGGAAAGAGATGTACGCTGTGATGACGGAGAAGATGAACCACGTGCTCAGGAACCTCCACCAGTGAAGTTTTGTGGTGAAGTAGAGAGGAACTACCCACATCTGGAACAGAGTCACCAGCTACAAGGGAGCAGAGGGCAGACGTTAGAGGAGGCATGAACGCCAGGGAGAAACAGTAACCAGCATGAGACACTGTGTAAGGAAGGGAAATACCATATGCCTCCTTCATTGAGAGAACAAGTATTGATGGATATATACTGTATGATGCACCATGTGTTGCCATATGCTTGTGAGGGAAACTCTATGCTAGTACTTATTATCTTATTTGCCCCTTCCCCATCAATGCAAACGCACACACACACACGCCCAGCTCACAGTCCGTGTCTTACATTGTATGACTTTGAATGTCTCTGTTTCCACTGCACGAGGACTAGCTGTGCGACGACGAGGGTGACGATGAGGATAAGCACCATCTCGGCGTGCATGGCCGCATGACCTTCGTGTTTGGCGTGCATTCTTGCATGCTCCACCCTGTGGAAAGATAATACAACATACTCAACTGATGTTACGTAGCTGGGAGCCACAGTGTTAGTTGTAGTCATAACAAACTCAGGATAGGTGTGCCCGTAAAGGTGCATATCACAGCCCTGCACAATAGCATCGCCTTATGGCAGTCACTGTAAACTGCAGCATTTCTGATAAGTTTTTAATATGTCAATAGTGGGTGTAAAGAACTCTTATCTTACTATTTTTAATTTTTAATTATAATGTCTGAAGTTGTTTTCTATACCAAAAACATTGTGTATTATTCATAAAAATGCTTGCAAGAGTAACTCTGCATTTTAGTCAGTGCAAACTGGCTGAATTTGTGTTTAACCGATAAGTGGTCCTTCTATCCAAGTGCAGTTCATATTATATACATTGCAAAAATAAATGCATTAAAATTAAAAGTGTGTCCAAAACACTAACCTCCACTTCTCTTCTGGTGAAAGCTTGGACAAATCCAACTAAAGAAAGGAAAAAGACTAATTATGACCAATACTGTTGACATTGTATCAACTAAGGTAAACAAACTGATAACAAAAATCACAGAAAATGATACACCTCAAATCACAAGGAGAAAATAAAACTGTAGTTTGCTTTAGCGGAGAGCACTGAATGAATCACATTTCAACACAGAAACTGTAATTATAGTAGCACCAAATCACTGTTTTGTACATCAACTCTCACCCAGTTGACTTTAAACTTCCAAATCTTACACGCATATCAATTACAGAGCAGATAAAACAACCAATTGTGCAGCAATGCGTGTCAAGGCCGAATAACTATATCTAACAAGCGTGAGGTTATTAAAGTGCAAGTCCAAGTTTGTTTAGTGATTATAGTCCCTCCCAAGTTGTTGGGCTTGTTAAGCTACTTAACCATGACTGAAATGAACAGCCAGCAGCAATAACTGATGAAGTGTTCTCTTGTTTTTGAGCTTAATATCTGCCAAAAAATGAATGAAGGCTGACAGTGTAATTGAGTGACTGTTACGAAATCCAATTCCCCCCGGGATAAAAACAATATATTTTATTCGTAATATGTTTTGCTCAGCAGATGAATACATTTGAGCCTTTTTATTGTTTCTTACCACTTGATATAATAATAAGCAGAGACAAATAGCCATCATGGCACATCAAGTCTAAATGTTACAGATTTCCATTCAGAAACATTAATCATCAGTGAAGCAAACACAAGGATCTTCAGTGTATTTTGCCAGCCTATTGTGATGGCAGCCGTGATGGTGTTCTGCGTCTGCATGAGTAATGACACCACACCTGTAATTACACCTGTAAAAGCTAACACCTGTTTTCAGCTTGACATCCAGGTTTGGTTTGACCAGATGATTGAAATCCCACAGGAAGTGGATTGGATGCTTCCCTGTGGCTTGACACTGATACACATCTTGCACCTTAGCACAGAAAAGGCCATATACTTGACCTTTGACCTAATGAGCCACATCATCTTTATGTGTAGAGTTCTCTGAACGTATGGGTGTGGAAATGTGTTATGCGTTATAAATGCCAATATAATTATTCTTAAAAGGCGTGTTAGCTTCTTTTACCAGATGAAAGCAACTACATGATATAAACGTTAGCCGGCTAGATAGCTTAGCATAGCTTAATGCTGTTAGGGAGATGGCACTGCCTTTATAACGAAATGCTATTAGTGACATGCAATGGAAATGTATTTGTATTTAAACCCCATAACGATACCTATGCTTGGTAACAGATGTCTAAACAGTAGCAAGCTGCTTATGTTAAGCTAAACCCGTGAGTAACATGAGTAGCTAGCTAACACTGAGTTACGAGTTAGCAGCTAGAACCCCAGAATACATTCACCTCCATCTGTTTATCTGTCAAAACATGTCACTGGGGTCAATAACTCTCACCTGGTGCGGCTCATCGTGATGCGGGAGTCCATGGTCATGCTCTACACCATCAACCTCCACCTCAAACACCCCGGCCATCTTCGGAGTGCTGCTTTACCGTTCCGGGCCATTAGCATTAGCAACAATCCTGAGTGGCACTTCCGGTCATGTTTGGTTAAGTTTCTTTCAAAATAAAAGTCGGAGATAATGTAGGTCAAATGTTTGTTTTGTTTTTTAATGTAGGTCAAATCTATGAAAATGTGATCAAATAGTAAAGCCCTGACTTTCTGTATTTGTTTGTAAAGTCTGAGGTCAAGCCATAGCTTGATATGAATGAAAGGGGTAAACTGATCAATTAGATGCATATCAATATCTCTAAGACCAATATACTATTCATGATAATATTTACTGTATTATATCAATTTCGTTGTATTTATACGATTTTTTTAATGGAACAACTTTTTTTTAGAAGTGCTACTCAAAGTAATGATAATTGCAATGAATGTCACTCATTTGTAAAGCTTTAATAACTCCATCGAATAACACACGATGTAAAACATTGCCTACACGAGTCAAAGTGAAAATGTTCCATTAAAAAAGTAGACTCTTGCAAGTAGACTAATATTGCAGGTATTAATAGCATATTACACCAGCGGAGTTATCGTGTAAGGAAGGCATTGCACAACAAACAGAGAGTCAGTCACGCCTTCTATATAAACCCTTGTTGGATATTTGTACATTGCAACAAAGAGCCAACATGAAGCAACCCTGCTGCTGAAATCAGACAGGATAATTACATGTTGTGTTTAACCCGTTGTTTGGAAAATATCGCGCCGGATTTGGCCCGGAAACGGAGACCGGAAGTTGTAAAATGAGCGATGATGCATTTTTGATTGGTTTATAAATCTGACTGAGTCTTCTCGGATTGGCTGAGCCGCTGACACAAAGCGTTGTAACTGCTGGCAGTGGCAGGAGGTTGGCGCCCTCAGTTTGAGATTCAAATGCCAGTTGTTTAATAACCTGCTATAACATCTCAGTAATACAGATAACTTATCTGTTTCGAAGCTGAAAACACAACAACTGCTGTCAGAGGAAAACATTGTTGCCAACATGAACGTCATTAAGCGAGGTAAAGTAGCTCACTTTAACGTTCTTGCTGTCAAATAATATCGGATAATGCACTGTTTCGCGGGGGTAATTTGAGGTCCTGGAAAACGTTTAAAATAAATAAAAATATGTAAACTGTAAGAAACGTTAATACTCACAATAAAAACTGCACTTCTGCAAATCTTTTCCTCCTTGTTAATTATGTAAAATTGTACCTATTTCCTAGATAAAGTGTGTTTCCTTATGTTTCTTTGTGCATGGTTCTCGTCGACTTTAAACAAAGACTTGAGTTATGAAAGGACAACAACTGACAAAAGATTTGTATCAGTTTTTAAGTTTGTTGCCTGTTTTGTTTTTTATTTGAATAACGTGTGAGCTTATTTTTTTCAATAGTAACGACGATATTAACTTGAATATCAGGCTCGTTTTCCTGGTTTTACTCTCTAACACCTGTCCAAAAAGTTTTTTTTAAAGTAATAGCGTTGTCCACTATTAGGAATGTATATGAAGAGGATTATTATAAACATGTCTTTTCATCATATGTGTTGGCGCAAAGTAAGAACGTTTTGTTTCCCTGGTTACACAGGTGTTCAGCGCGCGCTTTATCTGAGTTAATTGATCATTGGAACGAGTCCAATTTACATTTATGGGACTGATTATCTTGTCTGCTATTTCAATGTTTAGAACCAGTCATATTCTACAACTTCTTTGATGAAGAAACTTATGTCTAGATTCTTTGAGGGAATTGGGCAAATACAGTTTTACAAACAATGTTTAATTTAATTTTTGTTTTTCAGATGGACGTGAAGAGGCGATAACTTTTGATAAAATCACTTCTCGCATTCAGAAGCTTTGCTATGGGCTCAACTCTGAATTTGTGGACCCTGTAAGTTATGACCGTAAAAAGCATATATCAATGTTAAAAAGAAATGTGAAAGTTTGACGATTTTTACTTGAATTGAAAGATAATCTACTATGCGTTGATTGCGTTCAACCCTTTATCTGTTTATTTGTGCAGGCTCAGATTACGATGAAGGTGGTCCAGGGTCTGTACAGTGGAGTCACCACTGTGGAGCTGGACACTCTGGCAGCTGAGACTGCCGCCACCCTCACCACCAAACACCCTGACTACGCACTGCTGGCTGCACGCATTGCAGTGTCCAACCTGCACAAAGAGACCAAGAAAGTGTTCAGTGGTGAGTACAAGTTACCATGAAAAATACACTGTCTATTGCAAGATATGCACCTTTTGTGTGTGTGTATAATAAATGTGTTTGTAAACATGAAATAACACCTTTAATACATACACATTAATTGAGGAATTGTCAAATGAGGATGCTGCACACACAATACTGTTAGAGTGATTATATTATCCTTACCGATGTTGCACTTTATTTCCTCTATGCTTGTGTAGATGTGATGGAGGACCTGTACAACTACGTGAACCCGTTAAATAAACGCCACTCTCCTATGATCTCCAAGGAGACGCTCGACCTTGTACTTGAAAATAAGGGAGTAAGTCATATTTTATGATGCATTTCTTTCATGTTTTAAAATGTCAAGTCATTGCATTGTGTTTTTACATAATATTCTATATTTTGCAGCGGCTCAACTCAGCCATCATCTTCGACAGAGACTTCTCCTACAACTTCTTTGGCTTTAAGGTCACTTTTATTCAAACGTTACATTCAACATCTCAATTAGATATTGAGTTCTAAAACTAATTTGTATTTTTTGCTTTAAAAGACACTCGAGCGGTCGTATTTGTTGAGGATTAACGGCAAAGGTGAGAATGGCTTTTCCTGGAGCATCTTGAGAAGCATGTTTATGTGCTGTTTGGATATCATTTCTATTGTTTATTTGCTAATTATTGTCTCTCCTTGTGCAGTTGCTGAGAGGCCCCAGCACATGCTAATGAGAGTGGCTGTCGGGATTCATAAAGGAGACGTGGATGCAGCCATTGAAACCTACAACCTGCTGTCAGAGAAGTGGTTCACCCATGCCTCCCCGACTCTCTTCAATGCCGGCACCACCCGGCCACAGCTGTCCAGGTGAGATAAGATATACTTTATAGATCCCAATTCACTCTGAGCAGTGACATCTGATGCTTTTTTCTACATTCAATTTTTTTCTTCTTTCCCTAATCTAATTTGTTTTTGCAGTTGTTTCTTGCTAACCATGAAGGATGACAGCATCGAAGGTATTTACGACACTCTGAAGCAGTGTGCCCTCATCTCCAAATCAGCTGGAGGCATTGGACTGGCAGTGAGCTGCATCAGAGCCACAGGCAGCTATATCGCTGGGGTGAGTCAAATTCATGGTTTATATTCATTATTAATGTGCTGCTTATTATTCAGATTAAGCATTTGATATTTTGGTCTATAAAATGTCAATACCAGTTTCCAGTGTTGTGCCTATAAACATATTTTTTTGTAAGTCCGAAACCAAAGGATATTTAGGTTAATGTAATTTATACGGAAGAATAGGAGAAATGTCAATTTTTGAGAGGCTGAAAACAGAAAAAAAAAATCCTTATTCACTATCAAAATATTTGCCGATTCTGTTTTGGTTGATCGATTGATAATTTTAGCTCTGTATTCAAATCAAACTGAAAAAGAACGCTTTTACTTGTGTCTTAATTGTATGACTTACAGTAGTTCTTGTTTTGTTTGTTTTGCAGACTAATGGCAATTCCAATGGGCTGGTTCCGATGCTTCGGGTCTACAACAACACAGCACGTTATGTAGACCAGGGAGGCAACAAGGTGAAGATTTCAAACACACACTAATGGAGCTGGATGTTGTTGCCGTAGAGACACCTCTGGTAGTAAATGTAATGACCTCTCTCTCTCTGTGTTCCCTTGTTCAGAGACCCGGGGCCTTCGCTGTGTACCTGGAGCCGTGGCATTTCGATGTGTTCGACTTTTTAGAGATGAAGAAGAACACGGGCAAAGAGGAGCAGAGGGCCAGAGACTTGTTCTTCGCCATGTGGATCCCAGACCTGTTCATGAAGCGAGTGGAAGCCAATCAGGTGAATATCTGAGGGAATCCCCTCCATGACTCATTTTCTGCAAAGGTCACAGTTTGAATGAAATGATACACTCTATAATTTATGCTGCAACTAACTATAATTGTCATTGGTGATTAATCTGCAGATAGTTTTTTCGATATTAATAGTTTGACCTTCATAAAATGAGTGAAAATTGTGAAAAAAACTTCACCCCAGTATCTCAAAATCCAAGTTGATGTCTTCAAATGTCTAAAACTACTGTAAGTTTGCTGTGGGGTTTAATCTTCCTGCTATATCTTGAACATTTCTGATTGCCCCTCTTCTGCTTTCGTAGGACTGGTCTCTGATGTGTCCCGGTGAATCTCCCGGGCTAGAGGAGTGCTGGGGAGAGAAGTTTGAGGAGCTTTACACTCGGTAAGACCAGCGACACAACACAACTCTCTTCTGAACAACCACCTGACTTCTCCTTGCTGACCTGTCCCATGTGTCTGTGTTCTCCTCAGCTATGAGAAGGAGGGCCGGGCTAAGCGTGTGGTGAAGGCTCAACAGGTTTGGCACGCCATCATCGAGTCTCAGACAGAAACCGGGACACCATACATGCTCTACAAGGACGCCTGCAACCGGAAGAGCAACCAGCAGAATCTGGGCACCATCAAATCCAGCAACCTGTGCACGGAGATCCTGGAGTACACGAGCAAAGATGAGGTGAGGGGGGGGAGGAACTGTTAGGTCTGCTGTATTCACATTAAATATTTAGTTTATGCTCATTCAGCTTGTCCTCCCTTGTGATCTTTCTGTGATTATACCTCTTTATTCAACATGACAATGCAACATATATTGATGAGGCAGGATTTAGCTATTATTTGATCTCCTTCTGCAGTCCTTTAGCAGTTTCACACATAACAATCAATAGACATTTTAAAAGCACCCATCAACATAAATATTAGCAGATTTAACAGAACTACTATAACATTAAAATCATTTCAAATATAACACTTGAATCACAGTCAAATTAAAGGTAACTTAATATGAATTTCTCTTCTTGTGTTCTACTC